AGTACTCACTTCAATCAATCATGCTATCTGGAACTTTTCCGTGGAGAATCCCATTTAATCCCGAGTACTTTCAGGTGTCTATTCTTAGACTTTCTGCAGTGGCAATGTATCTAGTAGACTGCAGTCATTAGAGACGAACTAACGCTGATTCATTTATAAGTCTCGGAACATCTGTTTGACTTGTTCGTACTTTCGGGTTGCTTCTTCCAAAGTGTCTGCTGTTAGAAGCAGATTGTCCACATATAGATTATTCTTGATCTCTTCGACAATTTTCGTGTCTTTCGTGCACGAATGCAAATGAAAGTGTGTTGTGGCCGCTAGCAGGAAAGGTGAACTGTTTAGACCGAAGGTAACACTGGTAAAACGAAGATTTCATGTTCTCCGAAGTTGGCGGTCGGTTGTGGCTGTGTAACCAAAGACATCTTGTTGCATGCCTGTCGACCTCTTGAAGGCGCACTTGAAAGAATGCTTTCTCGACGTCAGATGTGATGCCTATTCTTCCTATTCGGAAGTGTAAGGGTATCCTAAAGAGAGGTGCAAGAATAACTGGTTCACGGTGAAGAACTTCGTTGAGAGAAGGACAGCCCTTGTAGTAGGCCGAAGCTTCGAAAGCAATTCTCAGCTTTGTTGTTACCTTGTTTGGCGTCGAAACTGCCTGGTGCTGTATATAGTGGATCACTGAGCCACTTGCCGTAGCGTGCTTTAGGGACTTCTTCCCCACTATATTCAGTCGTAGTTGTTCCTCGAAAAAAAGGACGTTTATTAACATTTGTAACCGCTCTGGATTACGTTGCAAAGAGTTAGAGCTACTGACTGGTCTTCGTAGAGCGATGGCTTTGTTGTCTGCGTAGAGTCACACAGTTTTTTTCCATGGAAGGAACACGGACATAGTAGCCGTCGCCCCGACGTTGTATGGTCTCACTGAACTTATTACAGACCTTTTTATCAATCTGGCATTTATGATTATTCTCTTGTGAATTCCTGAGTTTTTTCGTTTTCGGGTGTCCAGTAGCGATCCCGCTTATCTTCTTCTGTAGAGCAGTCGGCATCTTCCCAGAGAGTATTGACTTGCACTTCTAATGACCAGTATTTGTCCCATTTTGAGCTTCGCTGGAAGACTGTACTTCAAGGGCTTGATGTGGGTGATGGTACCTCCCTGTTATGAGGTTGCCTGTTTTTGTTGGTAGGAGTTGAAGTCCTGAAGGGAGCGGAACAGGTGGCTCGTCTGTTTTCCAGAATTTCCACACTTGGTCACAGCCAAGAAGTATCAGTGGCTTCACTGCCTTTTCCTTCCATCTATGCTGAACTGAAATGTTCAATGACTTCAGGAACTCTGTATCTTCTTGAAGCAGTGGGGGAGTGCGAAGTGGTTTGATCAGAATCTCATGTGTTGTTAATTCCAGTTCATGAGGTCTTCCTTCGACATCCTGAACTTGTACGCGTACAATGCGGCACTGTTTCTTTTGGATTTCTTCAGAACCAAACGTGTGCAGAAAAAGTGTTTTCTCCGAAATAGTTTCGAGTTCCAAGCTCGTCGGCCAGTGTTCTGTCGATGAACGAAATTTCTGCTCCTGTGTCTAGAAGTACCGGGACCCTGCGGTGATCGCCTCTCTTGTTATCCATGACCATGACTTCTCCTATGGGAAGGACTGTCGTCGAATAGTGCTGGATTTCCTGCGCTGCTTGAACTTCAAGAATGGGTGATTCACCTTCCCTTATCCGTTCTTCTTCGGCCATTACGTTGACTTTCTGAGTCCTCTTGACTTGCTTCTTCACCTTATTGTCCGTTCGTATCGTATTTACAACTTCCTCACAACTTGCTCCTTCATTTCGTGGGCGTTGTTTGATGTTGACGTGGTCTTGAAGCAACATGATGAAGTGGTGAGGTCCTCCGCATCGGAAACAATTCTTACGTTTGCATTCAGATGTCTTGTGCTGTGTGATGCGCAGAGTTGGCAAAGACGACGGTCTCGTAAGTACTTTGTTCTTTCTCTCGGGGTCTTATATGTATCGCAATGAGATGACTTGTGTACGCCTTCGCAGAACATGCAGAGGCTCGCCTGGAGATTGGCCTGCTTTCGGAACTCTTTGGCGGATGTTGTCTGTGACGTGGACATTGGTTCCTTGACGTAGAGGTTCATCATTTCTTCCTCGGACAAGACGTCTTCGATTATGTTGAACAGCGTTTCCATTGTGGATGAAGTAGTCGATGGAAGTGTACGTCTCTTCGCTAGCACTCTCCTCTGGATATGTGCAGGAAATTTGCTCAACACTTTCTTGACCATAACTTGACTGTCTACGTGTTCTCCCTTTTGCTTTAGTTGCAGGACTGTTACTTGCACTTGTTCGAAGAGTGTGCGTTGGTCCTTGAGGGATTCACTTCGTAATTTGTAATGGTCAAGTTTGTCGATGAGTTTCTGGATCAATTCCTCTGGATTGCCGTACCGTGCGTGAAGGAACTTGATTGCATGGGAGTAGTTTTCAGGGGTAACTTGGAACTTCTTCACGGACTCCTTAGCCTCCCCTTCGAGGGCGTTCAGTAAATAGTTGAACTTGAAAAGCTCAGGTAATCCCCTCGAGTGAACGTTAACATTGAACAGCTCCCAAAAGTTATCAAAGTCCCAGATGTCACCCGTGAATTTGGAACAGGGAGCGGTGGAAGTTGCGGCTTGTTGGTGTTCATCTTAATGTTCCGTAAATGTAGGATTTCAGTGCGCTTATATATCGTATATGTAACATAAACGAGGGATTCTTCTGCACATATTGGTCTATCTCACTTGCGTCCACCTTCTCCTCTTTCTTCGCTAAAAGAGACAAGTCACGCATCGCCTTGTCCACTTGACACTTTATCGATTCTATCGTTCCTACCGCTCCTTCTAGGCGACATACAGCACCCACCCTAATTGTTCGAAAAAAATTTTTCGAACAATTAGGGTGGGTACTGTATGTCGATTGGCGTTTTTTTTCGTTTTTTCGCTATAACTCAATTTGTGTGAACTTTCTCATATAGAACCCTATACCGTTAGACTCAGCTCGTCGAGTTCTATAAGCTGGTATCCTAAAAAACTGAAAAAGTCGAAAATTGAACTCTGCTTCCTGTCGAAGTACCTGAGGACACTCGTTAGCGAGCGAGTCTCGCTATAATTGTAACCAGAGGGTAATCGTTGGGGATAATCCCTTACGATTACCCTGTGGTTACAAATACACATTGATTTAAAATCATTCAGGACTCAAATAACGTGCTGTATCGCGTAAAAAGTGATTAAAAATTAGATAGCTGTGTTTCCCAAATGCTGCTGATCATTTTGGTTCCGATTTTTCCGGAAATAGAGGGGTTTTGCTCGATGGCATTTTCGGACGATGAAGCCTTTTCACTGTAAAAAATCAGTAGTTCAGTTCGGACCGCACGAGCACAACAGGCCTAATGTATGGAGCCCTGTTTTCCCCAATATTTGCAAAATTCAAGAATGATGTCAAAAAGAAGGGGTTTTTAGCAACTTGAAATGAGCACTTCGTGCGATACTAGGCAAATACTCGATTTTCAGCGTTTTTAAACGGGATTTCTAGCTCTCTGAGTGGCCCTTAATTTTCCGTGAAAAAAACTACGTACAGAACGTCTTGCGATTTGGAAAAATTTGGTGGAAAACAGTGACAAAATTTGGACGTGTTGTTGTTATCGGGTGCCAACTTCAAGACATCATTCCAAAGCGAAATCAACGGATTTTTCATAGGACGGTCAAAGTTGCACCATTGAAATCCCCATGAAAAATGCTATCTATTCATATGAAAATCACCTCATGGAACTTTCTACAACCTTTCGCAGTTTTCTCCGGCTATCTTCCTTGTCAGCGATCAATCGACCTCCTTAGTTATCCCACCGAGGCTTTGTACAAAGGCTCCCATCCGATCGCAGCTGTTGACCTCGGCGGTATCTGCGATTACCTTAGGACCTTTTTCACACATCATCAACAGATTACAGCCGAATGTGCTTGAGATTTTACAACCTGTTTGAATGGAGTAGGATCCCAACAAAAGGCTCAAATAAACTAATCTAAAAAATGTGCGCCATGATTCCTGAGGAAACCCCATTCATATTCAGTTATCTGCAACTCTGGCAGCAAATATGTTCAGTTGTAAGGTACTGGAAAGCAGGACAGCTATCAGTGCAGCATAGTTAAATCTGGCGCATGCTTCATTCTATTATGCAAGCTCTATCGAGAAACCGAATATTAATCAATGATGGAGTTTGTAATTCAAAGCACAAAAATTTTGAAATTTCGATGAAAATTCAAATTTGAAATAAGAGAAGCATTTTCTAGAGCGGCAGTAGTCATGGATTTTCTGCGAAATAATGAACAGAAGAGACCACGTTCGTAGATGAAATTACTAAGACTGATCAATACAGTGCCCTGACACCTCGGTGGGATAACTACTTAGGAGGTCGATTGATCGCTGACAAGGAAGATAGCCGGAGAAAACTGCAAACTTCACAGAGGGTCAGATAAGGTAATTCTCATATGGACAGATAGCATTATTCATATGGATTCAAATGGTGTAACTTTGACTGCAAAATCTACGTTCAAAGGACTTTCTCCCTTTGAAAAACGTAAATAAAGATTTGAAGTTGGCTCCCGATAACGGCAACCAGTCCAAAATATGCCACTGTTTTCCACCAAGTTATTGGGGAGCACAAGGCGTTCTGTACCAAGCTTTTTATGGAACTTATAGGGCCACTCAGAGCGCTGGAAATCCTGTTTGAAAACGCTGAAAATCGAGTATTTGCCTCTAGTATCGCACGAAGTGCTCATTTCAAGTTGCTAAAAACCCTTCCTTCTGGTCTTGAATTTTGCAAATATTGGGGAAAACAGGGCTCCATACATTAGGCCTGTTGTGCTCGTGCGGTCCGAACTGAACCACTGCTCGAGATTTTCTGGAGTGGAAAGGCTTTATCGTCCGAAAATGACATCGAGCAAAACCCCTCTATTTCCAGAAAAATCGGCACCAAAATGATCAGCAGCATTTGGGAAACACAGCTATCTAATTTTTAATCACTTCTTACGCGATACAGCACGTTATTTGAGTCCTGAATGATTAATTCCCAACGATTACCCTCTGGTTACAATTATAGCGAGACTCGCTCGCTAACGAGTGTCCTCAGGTACTTCGACAGGAAGCAGAGTTCAATTTTCGACTTTTTCAGTTTTCAAGGATACCAGCTTATAGAACTCGACGGTAAGGTTCTTTATGAGAAACGTTCACACGAATTGAGTTATAGCGAAAAAAAAGAAAAAAACGCGAATCGGCGTTTTTTCGTTTTTTTTCGAAAAATTAGGGTGGGCACTGTAGATAGCCTAGATTGACGTTTCTGGAGTGGTCTTCAATGATAACTTGCACTGAATCGAGCTGTTGCTCTTTGAAGCGGCGCCAAAACTTGCTCTAGTTTATTGCAGAAGCGCGTTATGAGGCCCTTGGCTACTCGGTTGCTAGGTTGCTAGCTCGGTAATCATTTGACTCAAAATATGATCTAACTGAAGCCTTTGTAGGCTAAAATTGTTGAGAATTCTCAGAATTCACTGGATTTCAGTAGGTTGAACTTGATCCTCACTGGATTCCAACTAGGTTGAACTTGATCCACCATTATCGTAGATCAATCGTCGTGGTCGAGGATGACCAGATCAAAGCCGTGACACTTTTTAAGTTTGTTTTTCTCGCGGTCGTGTTTTCTGATGAGAAAAAATTCAACTGCGACGGCTCGACGAAAACCGATTCCGCTGGCACGACCTGAGGGAAGACAAGTTTCATTTTTCCGGGCGGAACTTCAGTGGATGTGATCTCATGGTCTGGGGTGCCATCGCATCAATGGAACGTCTGAAACTGTGCTCCGTATGGAAAAAAATGATTTTTTTCCGTCTATCTAAAAGTCATGCGACGACGTCTCCTTCCTTTCTGGCAAAAGAATCGGCATGAAGTCGCATCATGCACCAATTCATGTCAGCCGAAACACTCGAGCGTGATTCAGTCGTCATCAAATCGCTCTTTTGCCCTGGCCAGCGAATAGCCCTGACTTAAACCCAATCGAGAATGTGTGGGGCTTCATGGTACGCAAGATCTATGCGAACAATGCACGATTCCACAATGTCCGTGAGCTCAAGAAGTCAATAATTGATGCATGGCAGCATGTCGACCGAAAACTGATTTAAAACCTCTATTCGAGCATAGACAACCGCATTTTCCAACTTATTCAAAGGAATGGGGCTGCAATAGATTATAGAATTAACAATTCATTCATTTTGTTGTACACTTATCAAGGACTGCTGCCTAAATTTCTCGAAATGGCTCTATCCCGAACACACGGAACAGGCACGTTTCGACCAGTCTTGCTTCGCTGAGACGCGCGCTGCTAGATGCATGTATCGCAGAGAGGAAGCAGCGGAGATCACAGTGCATACTTGGAATCACCTCGACGAGGAGTTTCCTGCAAGAAAGGTTGAACTGAGAGCAATTTCTGATATAAATCAAGTACTATGCCTTGCATTCCTTAGATCACAAGTGCATATTCGGAGTCAGCATTTCATCTCACCTGATGCAATTCCGCCGAGACGTTGCACAGTAATCGGAACGGACGTAGTAGATGAAGATATGGAGGCTTTGCTCTAGGACCCTCGTTTGCTATATCAACATCTATAAACCAGGAAGTTATGGATTCAGTGCAGTGTGCCTTCCACAAATTTGCCCACCAGATTCGATGGAGGGAGAATTCAGCTCCGACTGTCCTGGATAGGCTGTCATCGTTCGCAGCATCGATACCTTTTCCAAGAACATCGGTGACAGCACCAAAACCAGTTCCAGCTCTGGAGCCCACACTGGCATCACTCCAACTCAACCTGGTGCAAATATACGCAAGCGAGACGTCAGCAAAGTTTGCATCCAATCTGACTGTGCAAGAGAGACGTGGTTTGAAGAAACTCCTGCTCTTCAAAAACGACCTTCGATATAGTGTGAGTGACAAAGTGGAGACTTCGTTGTCCTTACACAATCAGTGGATCGTCATTGCAAGATTTCGGAAAGTGTCTGATGAACTCCGACGCACAACAACACGGATCCTAAGCAAGATTATGGATAGAAGAACAACCAGACGTTTTATACTCACATATCCGATGGTGCCAACGTATTACGCATTGGTTAAGACGCACAAGTTCTCTGAAGAAGTGGACTTGCGACGCGTCGACGAAGATTCAATCAAAGTCAGACCAATCATATCGTCATGTGGAGGCCCTTCGGATAGAGTGAGCTGGTTCCTCACGAAGCTCCTGTCGCCGCTTCTGCAACATGTTGCGGCTCATTTAGTCAACGCAGGAGAATTCATATCAGTTTGGATCGATGTGAGATACCCGATGAAGGTTCGTATGCGAGTTTCGACGCGATTTCTTTGTATACGAACGCTGGAACTTGTAGAGAAGAAATGAACTCTGTGATCTTGAACTACTGCGACAACATCATGATGAAGTACACACATTCGGATTGATGGAGGAAGATTTGCGAGAGCTCTTATTAGCAGTATTGAAATGTAACATCTTCCAGTTTGGCAGCATGTTCTATTCACAGAAGCGAGGGCTTGCCACGGGATTGAGGATCTCGCCGTTACTAGCCATCGCCTATTTGGATCGGATTGAAGGAAGATCTCTAATCACTGGTATTGTATTTTACAAGCACTACATAGACGATGTCTTCGTCGTCAGTTCTACCGCCAATGTGATGGGCGCGATGCTTCAGAATTTGAACTCATGTGACCCGTAACATAGGTTCTACGATGGAGCATCCAGACG